TAGTACTGAAACACTGGAGACATACACTCAACTGTTCAGAAAGCAAAAATTTAGTAGAAATCAAATGCAAGAGAGTCTTTGGGCTCTGGCAGTTCATTCTGCCACCACCCAAGGTTTGGCACGTAGCTGATTTATCCTCCGAGTCACTGGTGGTTGTAACTGGGCTACTTATAAACCTACTTTTTTCAACTGATTGTGCTTCCTTCCTAACAGGGCAGAACCTGGCTTCAGCAAGAAAAATCTGACCCTATCTGGAAACAACTGTCCTCACTTCCCTAGGCTAGAATAAATCAGCGTTTGCTGTTCTCTCCTAAGTCTATACTTGACAGTTAAAGAGATGAATGAGCAAGGATGATTCCCACTTATTTTCCTCCAAGATCCTGAATGCGTACCCTCTAGATGGCAGTGATTATACACACTGCCCAGTGCTTTCTGGATTCACACACTCACACAGAGTGGGAGCATTCAACTATCCAGTACGCTTATACTGCTGGATCTTCAGAGAAGCTGGATCTTCATTACAAACCATTCCCATCGCTGCCTCATCTGGTATAAAAGGTCTGCTCTATTTTAGAGCAATAGGACAATGGGAAAATCTCCTGGTATAGAAGACAGATTCTTAGGTGAATGTCAATTCTACAGGAAGAAAAACAGATCCTTAAAAAACAGCACCTCTGTGCTGATCTTTTGCAGAGATGCCTTTCTACAGTGCGAGGACAGAGGAGTACTGTGGAGATTGAGGCTTGGGGTCGCATGCGTAGTAGGCAGATCTGTTTTAAAACTCTAGATACAGCACTCTGAAAGAGGATCCTTTCTTTAGGAAATACAGATTCTTGCATAACATTTTCTACTGCACAGCATCTTTCCATCATTCTTAAGTTTATAGGAGATTTGGCACAGTTTTTAGCCACAGTTTTAGTCTATAAAACCTTCCTACAAGAAGTTAAAGCGAAACTCTTCTTGGGAAGTTGCAAATTTGAATGAGCCTGTGTTAAGTGTCCTGGGTGACTCCAAAGGGGACCCTGCTGAATCTCGGCTTTTCCTGCAAGCTCCTGAGCGCTTCTGGATGAACTGGCAGTTCTTGTTGCGGATGTCTCCCTTCACTTCCACGACCCTGGCAGATTTCACAGCTTAAGGAGGGGAGAAAAGAGCAGGAAGAGATGTTTAGTCATCTCATTTAGTGAAGTCCCACTCTGCAAAGCAATACAGAGGGCCTTTCCTCTTCACTTCCCCCAGCATGCAAAGTTCTCCTACCTGTTTCCATGAGCTTCAGCTCTTTGCACCGCTCCTCCTCCATCTTCTTCCTATAGTCTCCAAACATGACTCTCATGAGCTGACGTTTCTTCACCAGTGGAGCCTTGCCATTGCGCAGCGTCTTGATCGCACGGAGAGCCTCCTCGACTGAAGCAGCGCAAATGAGAAACACCAAACAGTTTGACTCCCCACTGGCTCTGCCTCCGCACACCCTTCCGACTGGGGAGATCTCTCATTTAATTGAATACTTACCCTGCTTTGGAGTGGATTTCTGTGTCTTCAGGCCAAGTTCTAGCTGTTCCACACACCAGTCCACCTCTTTCCACAGCTGGTCATCTGACTGCTACGCAACAGGGAGCAGAGTGAGCATGAGGAAATAAGTCATCCAAAAATTAGAGCAGCAGTTGCTACACAGGAAAAAAGGTATCTGTGTAAAGTCAGGACTACTCCAAATTTCATGTTCTGGTGATCACTTTATAGACTTCATGACATTTTCCCTATAGTGCTTTTCATTGGATAAACTTAAAGCATTGGACAAATGTTAAGTTGCAACTCGCTGCTTCTATTTGATGGATTTAATATTTGGCTGCCATTCAGATGATGCCGTTTTTTGGAAAGCTGTCCAGGGCCCTTCCTCTGAAAGAAGCTGTCAAATCAACTTACAGATGGGAGCAATAAGCATTAACAACAAAAAAACCCTACCCCCAAACCTGCCCAAATCAAAAAGCAAGCAATGGACAAAACCAGAAGCTGAGTCTTGGTGTCTCAGCCCCTGCGTGCTTGCTCAGCCTCAACCAGAAATGCAGAAGGGACCTGAAGCCCACGAAGATGGAAGAAGCCAAGTCCCATTGAGCAAAGCCAGCTGGCTAACTGAGCAGTGGAAGGGAGAGAAGCAGGGCTGCATCCCAGGGCTGACACAATTCTTAACTGTTATGCACACGTAAACACTAAAGCCCTCACACTGTCTCCTTTTCCTTATAAACAGTCTCCTTCCGATGGACTTCAAATCTTTCCACCTTTCTGGTGGATATTAGGAAAAAATTATTCACTGAAACAGTGGTCAAGCATTGGAACAGGCTGCCCACAGAGGTGGTGGAGTCACCATCCCTGGGGGTGTTCAAAAAACATGTAGACGTGGCACTTCGGGACATGGTTTAGCAAGCATGGTGGTGTTGGACTTGATGATCTTAGAGGTCTTAATGATTCTATGTTCTCAGCAGTGTTTATTGGTAGGGTTGTTGGTGAAATGCACCAGACCCTGCCGCAGCCTTGGCTACACCAGGTAGCAGCTCTGCACCTCAGCTTTGCTATTTGCACTACATGAGCAATTCATCCTACCCAACAACATGCAAATCAGGGGTTGGTGCCTGGTTTAGCACACACAGTTACCAGTTGGCACTGACTGAGGACAGTTACCTCCATTTTTTATTTTTTTCAAGAAAACATGGCACCCAGCTTCCCAGGATTAGCCATCACAAGTCTAAACATGAAACGTCTCAGCACAAGTCTGAAGCAGACAATGAAAGACCATTAACTTCCTTTCCACTAGTTAGGTTCCTCAACTGTCTAACAGAGAAAGAAAACAGCTGCTGTAAGAAATAAGCAGCAATCCTTGTCTTTCAGCTTTCATCTCAAGCCCGTATACTAACTGTTAAACTATGCAAAGAGATAAAGTTTCTCTGTTGCTCAAGGGATCCCATCAATATTTAAATACCTGAGAGGTCTCATCCTGGTGGGAAGTATCTTTATTTTGACATCTGTTAGCTTCTGCCTTTGCCTTCCTGTTGATCTCAGTTTCTTCTATCTCCTTTTTACTGACAGATGGTTTTTGTTTCTTCTTCTTTTTCTTCTTCTGGGCAGCTCCATCTGCTGTGGATTTTTCTGTCACTGTCTCATCTCCAGGAGCAACCTCTGGTTGGGGGATCTTTAACATGACATGGCTTCTATCCTCTTTGGGTGTACTACCTGTAGTTTCAATCAACTCTGGCTTCTGTGAGGCTGAAACACGGAGCATACCTGCTGATTCAGTAGGCAGTGAATTACTCAGCACTTCACCATCTGCTGTACCCTCTGTATGCTGGCTTGCTGGAACTAATGGAACCAGAGGACAGTCTTCATCTGGGATGGTAAAGTTAAAAGCAAACTTGTGTTCTTGTCCAGAGGCAGCAAAACTCAGGGCTCCATTCCAGTTCTCCTGCTCAGTGGGTTTTACATTGGTTTCTGTCTGCTCAGCACCAGGGACTGCTTCCAAAGGTGTGCCAGCTACTTCTGGGTCGATCTCAGAAAGTGTAAAATCAAATCGGAAGCTGTTGTCAGATGACACAAACCACTCTGGCTTTGCCTCAGAGGTTTGGCCAGATTGTTTCCCATGTAGTGCACTGTCTGAAGCCTGCCCATTGCTTTGCTGTACTTCCACATCACCAGGTTTCATGTCTAGAAAAGATAAAGAATCACAGAATCACGGACTGGTAGGGGTTGGAAGGGACGTCTGGAAATCATCTAGTCCAACCCCCTGCCAGAGCAGGATCACCCAGAGCAGGTTGCACAGGATCACGTCCAGGCAGGTTTTGAATCTCTCCAGAGAAGGAGACTCCACAACCTCTCTGGGCAGCCTGTCCCAGTGCTCAGTCACCCTCAGAGTGAGGAAGTGCTTCCTCATGTTCAGATGGAAGTTCCTCTGTT